AACTCTAAATAGACTGATCCAACAGTAAGGAAATTGAAACAATCATCAAAAACCTCCTAAAAAGTAAAAGTTCAAGACCAGATGCCTTCACTAGTGAATTCTACCAAGCATTCAAAAAATATTTAATACCTGTCTTTCTCAAACTCTTCCAAAAAACTGAAGAGGAAATACTTCCTAATTTATTTTATGAGGTCAACATTACCCTGATATCGAAACCTGGTAAAGGTAACACACAAAAAAGGAAACTACAGACCAACATCTCTGAATAATACACATACAAAAATCCTAAACAAACTACTAGCAAATCAAATACAACAATACATTATTAAAAAGGTTATACATTGCAATCAAGTGATGGTTCATTCCAGGGGTGCAATGATGGTTCAATGCATGCAAATCAATTGCTGTGATACACCACATCAAAAAATAAAGGTTAAAATCATATGATCATATCAACAGATTCAGAAAAAGCATTTGACAAGATACAGCATCCACTTATGATTAAAACACTCAATTAAATGGATATAGAAGGAAAGTACCTGCACATAATGAAAGCCATATATGACAAACCATTAGCTAATATTATACTTAATGGTAAAAACCCGAAAGCTTTTCCTCTAAGATCAGGAACAAGACAAAGATGCTCGCTCTCATCACTATTATTCAATGTAGTATTGGAAGTCCTAGCAAGAGCAATCAGGCAAGAGAAAGAAAAGTCATCTAAATTGGGAATGAAGAAGTCAAATTGTCACTTTTTGCAACAACATGATTCTTTATATAGAAACCCCAAAAGACTCCACCAAAAAACTATTAGAAACAATAAACAAATACAGTAAAGTTGCAGGATACAACATCAATGTACAAAAATCCACATGTTCCTAACAATGAATTTTCAGAAAAAGAAAGAATAAAACAACTTTCGTTTTGCAATTGCAACTAAAAGAATAAAATACTGAGGAATAGACTTAACAAACGATGGAAATTACCTATACACTGAAAACTACAACACATTACTTAAAGGAAATTGAAGAATACACAAAGAAATGGAAAGATAATCCATGTTCATGAATTGGACGAATCAACATAATAAAAATGGCCATATTATCCAAAGTAATATACAGATTTAATGTAATCCCCATCAAAACTCCAATGGCACTTTTTAAAGAAATAGAAAAGAAAATCATCAGATTTGTATGGAACCACTAAACACCCCTAATAACTAAAGCAATCCTGAGGGAACAGATCAAGGCCAGGGGTATCACACTCCCTGACTTCAAATTATACTACAAAGTAACAACAGATAAGCAGAAAAACAGATACACAGAACAGTGTAACAGAACTGAGAACCCAGAAATAAACTCACATATATATGGGCAAATAATTTTCTACAGAAAAGCCAAAAACAAATAATGGAGAAAAAAAAGCCTCTTCAATAAATGGTGCTGGGAAAATTGGAAAGCCATGTGCAGACAAATGAAACTTGACTGCTATCTGTCACCATACACCAAAATTAACTTGAAATGGATGAAAGACCTAAATATAAGTAAGACCTGAAACAACAAATTGCATAGAAGAAAACATAGGTACTAAATTCATGCACCTTGGTCTTAGAGAAGATTTTATGAATTTGACTTCAAAAGCAAGGGAAGTAAAAGCAAAAATAAATGAATGGGACCATATAATACTAAAAATCTTCTGCATGGCAAAAGAAACCATCAACAAAACAATGAGGCAACCAACCGAATGGGAGAAGATATTTACGAACACTTCAGATCAGGCTAATATCCAAAATATGTAAAGAACTCATTCAACTAAACAACAAAAAAACAAACAATCCAATTAATAAACAGGCAGAGAATCTGAAAAAACACTTCTCCCAAGAAGACATACAAACGGCCAAAAGACATATGAAAAGATGCTCAAATTCACTAGCTATTGGGGAAATGCAAATCAAAACCACAACGAGATACCATCTCACACCTGTTAGAATGGTTATTATCAGCAAAACAAGTAACAACAAATATTGGAGAGGTTGCGGGGGAAAAAGGAACTCTCATGCACTGTTTTCTACTACAGAAAACAGTATGGAGTATCCTCAAAAAAATTAAAAATAGAATTACCACATAACCCAGCAATCTCTCTTCTGGCTATACACACCCAAAATTTGAAAACGTTTATCCATAAAGATATGTGCATCCTAATGTTTATTGCAATATTATTCACGGTGGCTAAGACACAGAAACAACCCAAGTATCTTTCGACAGATGACTGGATAAAGAAGATGTGGTACACACATACAATGGAATATTACTCAGCCATAAGAAAAGATGAAATACTGCCATTTGCAACAACATGAATGGATCTTGAGATCATCATGCTAAGTGAAGTAAGTCAGACAGAAAAAGTTGAGAACCATGTAATTTCACTCATATGTGATGTAAAATGGAAAGCAACAAACGAATGACACAAACAGAGACTCATAGACACAGACAACAGTTTAGTGGTTACCAGAGGGAAAGGAATAGGGGGAGGTAGCTAAGGGTAAAGTGGGTAAAAGGGGTCAAATATATGCTGTCGGAAGGAGATTTGATTTTGAGTAGTGAACACAATGTAATGTATAGATGATGTACTGTTGAATTGCACACTTAAAACTATATAATTTTATTAACCAATGTCACCCCAATAAATTTAATAAAGAAAAACAAGCCCATATGCAATGTGACTTTGCTGTTCCTCCCCATCAAGAGGTGGAGTCTGTTTCTCTCCTGCCCCACCTTGAATCTGGACTTGACCATGAGATATTTTTTTTTGGCCAATGGAACATTAGCAAATATCACACTGGGAAAATTTGAAAAGTACATGTGCATTGGGGCTTGACCACTCTTCCTGCTGGGAACACATTGCCACCACTGCTTGACCTCTCTTGCTGCTAGGAACCCACTGCTCAAGTTGGCTGCCTTGAGGACGAGTGATCACAAGAAGACGACACTCCAGTCCTCCCAGGTAAGACCCCAGACATATAAATGAGGCCATCCTAGACCATATAGCCCAACCAAGCTGGGTCAGACCAGAGGAACCACTCAACCATCATACAGAATGTGACAGATATTTGTTTCTTTAGAGCCACTAAGTTTTAGGTGAGCTTTTTTAAATAGGAAAAGCTGATAGACTGTATACTTTTTCTGATTCCCCACTTAAACCTTTTCAATTAACAGATCAATGATCAGATAAGGCTGTGTTAGATAAAAGTGTTTCTATTATTATTATCTCCCATTTACAAATAAACAAACTGAAGCGCAGACAGGTTAACTAACATTTCCAAGTTTACACAATAACTGGTAAAGCCAAGACTTGAATCTGTATGTTCTAACACCAGAGTATGGGCTGCTTGAGAAAGCCCGTGGATACTGGCCCTACATCCCTGAACAAAGTGACATGGAGTCCTTTAAAAAGGCCAAGGCCTGTTGTAGAAGGAAGTTTTTTTTACTTATATACAATTTTTCCTTTTTGAATTTTGAATCACATGAATTCAAATATTATCAATTAAAATATTAAAATGAAAAGTTTTATTTAATATATCCAAAGGGACAACTTTGAGACATTACTGAATTAGTGGGATAGGATTATGAAGGTGTATGTTGCTTTCTAATTTATGCATGGTTACAATGATTAAATTATATATAATGCATAAATTTTCTTTCTAATCAATTTTAAAAGACAAAAACATTATAAAAATATATAGCACACATGAAGAGAAACTATATAAGGACAGACAGGTGGAGAAGCTTCACTCTTGCCAAGGGATCTGCCATCCAATATTTCCTTCAAGGTCATTTCCAGAAAGCTGCCCAAGTCACTGAGAAAAAAAGGTCAACAATCTGATAATGCCACCAGAGGGCCTCAATGCACTACTGGCCCTGTGAGATTGTGCCCCTGACCTTGATCCCCACTCTCCTTGGTCCTGTCCCTGAACACATCAGAAAAAGAAGTTAGTTAGGATGGAGGTATGAAGAAGTCAACCTGAAATATTTAAGTTTTTCATTTAGACTTCTCTGTCTAAAGCTTTAACTTTCAAAGCAGTTTAGAGTTTGGGTTATTATTCTGGACTGGATAATTTGATACTGAATTGAGGCTTTCTGGTGATTAACATGAACTTTTAGAAATTATCTAAGAGTGACTAGAAAAGCTATGGGATCAGAGTAAGATTTCATTCAAGGTCAGGGAAAGGTCTAGCTCACAGAATGGTATAAAGAGTCAATGAAGAGAAATTAAACCATTTTCTGGTATATACTATTGTGTACCACTCTGTCAACCTATTCTACAAAGATAAGAAAAACAGGCTCTGTTAACAGTTAACTGATAAGCTGGGGCTCCCTCTACAAATAAATGATGAGATTTAGCTAGGACTGTTACCCGGGTCTTAAGGTCCCCAACCCTCTGGCAATAAGCAATAACAGGGCCAGAAGGGGAAACCAAGCTATGTGACTAAACACTGACTCTCCTCTTCAAAAGTATTTTGTTTAGGACACACAGTTTTCACTTTGGAGTCAAGTACACTTGTTTTTCTCTCCATATCCCATGCCATTGTCATTGTTGCCATGCCTCTAGGAAGGTAGGACTATAATAACAAAACTCTAGATTCAAACCTCATTCTGAATCTTGCATCATGAAACAACAATGTGCAAGAATCTTAATATCTTCATGCTTGTTTCCTCATGGGGATAATAACAGTGGCTAACTCAGAGGACTAAATTACATAATGCGTGAAAAGCACATTGTAAGAATAAACAGTAATTGTTAGAAAAATATCTTTTTATCCCTGAAAATCACAGAAGGACCTGGGTTATAAAAGGGAGAATGCCACATCTCCAATATCTCAGAAGTCTCTGCTCTTAAGTAGCTCCCCAGGAGATGGCACAGTGGGCAATGTATGAGTCAGGTCAGTTACACAGACTCCTACTGTACCAGACTTGGAAGAACAATCTGGGCAACCAGCTCACCATGAAGAAGTAAGGGTGATTTATCTGCCTCAGGAGCTGAATGTTGTCTGTGGTCACTGAGTGAATCCTGGAGCACCAGGCCAGTGAGTAGAGCCAAGGTTCATTGACGATGTATAAGTTGATGTTGATGTTAGCTGCTTTATAATCTCTGGAACAAAAACAGAACCCACAGGGGGATTTAGACTTAATCTCACTCTTACTATCTAAAAGGGGAACAGCCACCATGTTTGTGAAAGAAAGGCTGTTGTTTAGATCACCAGAAGCAGCTGGTCCTAGGACAATTTATGATATGACATGCAGAATGGGCTCATGTTGCAATGAGATAAAGGACTGGATTTAATACCTCCTACACCAATAGTGGTATGTTAGTAAAATGGATGTCCTAAAGGAAAAGAGGAAAGAAGAAAGAGAGAGGCAGGGGGAGGGATGGAGGGAGGGAAAAGAAAACCCTTATTTGTACTATTTGCCAATTTCCATGGTGTAAATAGCCAATTTCAAGCTACCACTGGTAAAACAGGTTTCTAAAGTTTGTGAGTATTTTAATAATTGGCTACCATGAGCTGGTATGATCCAGCTCCAGCACACTCTTAGGTAGCAATTATACTTACTTTCATCTAAGCACTTGACAATACTCTATCTGCTTTCCTGTCAGTCTTCTTTACTTGAGTATAAGCAAATTAAATGCAGAGACAGTGCCTTATTCATCTCTGTATATCCAGTACCTAGCAAAATATCTGCCTTCATAAATCATAATTGAAGGAATGAATAAATGAATATTTATTTCATTATATAAATGTATTTATATTTCTTATTTATATACAGATAATAAATTTATATATTTATTTATATATTACATAAATTTATATTTATATAGGTGAATATTTAAATTCAAATATAAATAAGTTTTATAAGCACTGAGTAGGGGAAATGGAACCCAACGCACTAAATATTGGTAGATACTTCTGCACTATCTAGAGACAGGAAGAAGATAAATAGAAAAGTTTCTAGTAATTTTAATCAAGTTGTCATTTTCAGGGATTAAATTTCTCAGAAAATACACAATGTAAGTGCCTTCAAAAAATTTTTTTTGAAAATTGAGTTGGTATAGCATTTGGGGTTTGAATCTCAGCTCTGTCATATACTAGTGTGGCAAGTTCTAATGCTTGGTATATAAACTGTAAGGTAAAAATAATAATACCACCTTTGTAGGAGTGTCATCAATTATTTACCCAGTATGTCTCTAAGACAATTCTACAGATTCCCTAAAGATAAATTAAAAAATAGAAACAAGAAAAGAGTAGTAAAAACTACTTTCTAAACTTTTTGAAACACACTCAAAAAAGATCACAATTCTGTATATTAATAATGAATATACAGACACTGAAATTAAAAATACAATGAAATTAAAAATTACCTCAAAGAAAATGAAATAGCTAGGTATAAATTTGACAAATTAAGTATAGGATCTGTAAGTTGAAAACTAAAAAATGATAACAGTAATTAAAAATGATTTAAGTAAATGGAGAGACATATGTGTTCATGGATTGGCAGACTCAACATTATAAAGATGTCGATTCTCCTCAAATTGATTTGCAGGCTTAATGCAACTCCTACCAAAATCCCAGCAATGTTTTTTGTACAATTAGGCCAGCTTATTCTAAAATGTATATGGAAAAGCACAACCCCAAAGAAACTAAAACCATCTTGAAAAAGAAAAAGAAATTGGGAGTGAAACACATTACCCAATATTAAATCTTACTATATAGTTACAGAAATCAAAACAGTATGGTATTAGAAAGCATAGATACATAGATCAGTGGTATGTAATTTAATACCCAGAAATATGCCCACACAAATATGCCCAAATGATTTTTGAGAAAGGTGCAACAGTAATTCAGTGGAATAAAAAGAGTTTTTACAATAGATGGTGTGGGAGTAATTGGACAGACAACTGAAAAGGGTAGGAATGGAGCTATAAAGGAGCAGAGTTTTGTATGTTATTGAAGTTAAGCTGGTATAAATTCAAAATGTCATAACTTTAAGTTAAATGTAATTCCTATGGTAATCACAAGGAAAATAGGTATAAATATACACAAAAGTGAGAAAAAGATATAAACATTTTACCACAAAATAATCAACTAAACACAAAAAACAAAAGTAAAGCAAAAAATAAGGTACAAACAAGCTATAAAGCATATAGAAATAACAAAATATCAGATGATAGAAACGAAATAACAAATATTTACAGAAATTACTGAAGTGACAAAATAATAAAAGTCCCTCCTTATCAGTGATTATTTTAAATATAAATGGATTAAACTCTCCAATCAAAAGACAGAGATGAAAAAATGAATAAAAACACATGATCTAACTTTATGCTGTCTATGAAAGATGCATTTTAGATCCAAAGACACATATAGAGTGCAAGTAAAAGGATGAAAAAAAGATGTTCCATGCAAAGAGGTACCAAAAACAGCATGCATGGCCACATTGCCAGACAAAATGGCTTTAAATCAAAAGAGGTTACAAGAGACAAAAAAGGACAATATACATTAAGAAAAATACAATAATTGTTGTATAATAGTTGAAGACTTCAAAATCTCATTCTCAAAAATAGATAGAATGAGCAGACAGAAGCTAAATAGTTTTTAATCAACACAAGAAACCAACTATACCTAACAGAAATACACAAAACACTAAACCCAGAAATAACAGCATATACATTCTTCTCAAGTGCACATGGGGTATTTTTTTTAGCATAGACCATATATTAGATCACAAATTAAGTGTCAATAGTTGTAAAAAGACAGATATCATACAAAGTATCTTCTTCAATCACAACAGGATGAAGCTAGAAGTTAATTAACAGAAGAAAAACTAGAAAATTACACATTTATGGAAATTAAACAACACACTTTTAAACAAAGAATCAAAAAAATAATCACAAAGGAAGTTATAAAATACTTGGATGAAAAATGAAAACAACATATCAAAACTCGTGGGATGCAGCAAAAATGGTTCTAGGGGAAATTTTTATAGCTATCAATGCTTACATTTAAAAAACAAGAAAGATCTCAAGTCAATAACCAAACTTTACAAAAACTAGAAAAAGAAAAATTAACTCAACAAAGGTAAGAAAATAATAAAAATTAAAGCTGACATAAACAAAATAGAGAAGAGAAAACCAACAAAGAAATCAATGAAACCAAAACTTAGATTTTTGAAAAGATTGACGAAAATAATAAACCTTTAGCTGGATAGACTAATAAGAAAAAAAACCTTCAAATTACCCAAATCAGAAATAAAAGTTGGGGACATTACTACCAATTTTAAAGAAATGAAAAGGATTATAAGAGAGTACTTTGAACAACTGTTCCCCCCAACAAATTGGATAACCTGGATTAAATGGAAAAATTTTGTTTAGAAACACAAAATCTACCAAGACTGAATCATGAAGAACTAGAAAATGTTAAGACCTCTAATGAGTAAGGAGATTGAATCATTAAACAAAAATCTCCTGAAAAATAAAATTTTTAGACTCAATGACTTTACTGGTGAATTCCACCAAACAGTTAAAGAAGAACTAATATCAACTCATTAGAATGGCTACCTCAAACAGAAATCAATAAGGATACAGAGGATATGTAAAAATTAGAACCTTGTGCACTGCTGGTACAGCTGCTGTGGAAAACAATATGGTGGTTCTCCAAAAAATAAAAATAGAATAACTATATGATCTAGCAATTCCACTTCTGGGTATACAGACATATGTTGGAGATATTGCAGGTCTGGTATCAGAACACTGCAATAAAGCAGATATTGCAATAAAGCCAGTCACACAAATTTTTTAGTTTCCCAGTGCATATTGAATTATATACTTGAAACCTATATAATTTTATTAACCAATGTCACCCTCAATCAATTTAATTTAAAAAAAAGAAGAAGATCCTCTAAGGAAATAGTTGACCAGAGTCAAAAGAAAAAAAATTTATGCTTACACTATACTGTAGTTTAAGTGTGCAATAGCATTATGTCTAAGAAAAAAATGTACACGCCTTAATTAAAAAAATTCTTTATTGCTAAAAAATGCTAACCATCATCTGAGCCTTCGACAAGTCATGATCTTTTTGCTGGTAGAGGGTCTTATCTTGATGTTGATGGCTTCTGACAGATCAGGATGGTGATTACTGAAGGTTGGGTTGGCTGTACCAATTTCATAAAATAAAATAAAAACCATCATTGCCTCTTACTTTCACGGATTTTTCTATAGCATATGATGCTGTATGACAGAATTTTACTCACAGTAAAACTTCTTTCAAAATTAGAGTCGATCCTCTCAAACCATCCATGAGAGTTGAAATCAATTTCTTCCAATCTCCTGTTAATGTTGGTATTTTGACCTCTTCCCATGAATGACAAATGTTCTTAATGGCATCTGGAACAGTGAATCCTTTTCAAAAAGTTTTCAATTTACTTGGCCCAGACCCATCAGAGGAATCATTATCTATGACAACTAGAGCCTTACAAAATAATAAACCTTCATAAATAATATGACTTAAAAGTCAAAATAACTCCTTGAATCCATGGACTACAGAATGACTGTTGTGTTAGCAAGCACGAAAAATCATTATCTTGTATATCTCCATAAGAGCTCTTGTGTGACCAGATGCATAGTCAATGAACAGTAACATTTTGAAAGGAATTTTCTTTCTGAGCAGTAGGTCTCAAAGGCAGGTGTAAATCTTCAGTACATCATGCTGTAAAGCAATGTACTATCATCTAGGCTTTGTTGTTCCATTTATAGAGCTCAGGTAGAGTAGGTTCAACATAATTCTTAAGGGCATTAGGAATTTTGGATTGGTAAGTGAGCAACGGCTTCAATTCAAAGTCACCAACTGCATTAGACCCTAATAAAAGAGTCAGCCTGTCCTTTGAGACTGTGAAGCTAGGCATTGATTTCTCCTCTTCAGCTGTGAAAGTCCTTAGGTGGCATCTCCTTCCAATATAATGCTGTTCATCTACATTGAAAAATCTATTGTTTAGTATAGCCACCTTCATTAATTATCTTAGCTAGATCTTCTGGATAACTTGCTGTAGCTTCTATATCAGCACTTGCTGCTTTACATTGCACTTTTATGTTGTGAAGGTGGTTTCTCTCCTTAAAACTCATGAACCAACCTCTGGTAGCTTCAAATTTTCCTTCTGCAGCTTCCTTTCTCGTTCAGCCTTCGCCGAAGTGAAGAGAGTTAGGGCCTTGCTCTGAATCAGACTTTGGCTTAAGTAGAATGTTATGGTTGGTTTGATCTTCTACCAGACCACTAAAACTTTCTCCATATCTACAATAAGGTTGTTTTCCTTTCTAATCGTTTGTATGTTCGCTGGAGTAGCACTTTTAATTTCCTCCAAGAACTTTTCCTTTGCATTCACAACTAGCACATCAGGCCTAGCTCTTTGGCTGTCTTAGCTTTCCACATGCCTTCCTCACTGAACCTAATCATTTCGAGGTTTTGATTTAAAATGGAGACATGTGACTCTGCCTTTCACTTGAACACTTAGAGGATTATTAGTTGGCCTAAATGCAGTACTGTTGTGGGAGGCCTGAGAAGAGAGAGAGAGAGATGGGGGAGTGGCCAATTGATGGAGCCACCAGAACATATACAACATTTATCCATCTTACATGGGTGAGATTTGTGGCATCTCAAAACAATTACGATAGTAATATCAAAGATCGCTGATAACAGATCACCATAACAAATGTAATAATAATAATGAAAAAGTTTGAAATAGTGTGAGAATTACCAAAATGTGACTCAGATACACAAAGAGAGTAAATGCCAATTGACTTGCTCAATGCAGGGTTGCCATAAATCATCAATTTGTAAAAAAATTCGATATCTATGAAGTATAATAAAGCTAAACACAAGAAAATGAGGTAGGTCTCTATATCCAAAAGAAGTGAAAGCGGAGTTTTAAAGAGATGTTTGTACACCCATGTTCAAAGCAGTATTATTCACAATAGCTAAAATGTGGAAGCAACCCAAACGTCCATCAACCGATGAATAGGTAAGAAAATTGTGAAATATACATGCAATGAAATATTATTCAGCCTTACAAATGAAGGAACTTCTGTAATGGTTGACTTCAACATGGATGAAACTTGAGGACTTTAAGTGAAATAAGCCAGTCACAAAAACAGACAAATACTATATGACACCACTTACAACAGTCAAAACCATTCGGACAGAAAATGAAATAGTGGTTGCCAAGCTCTGGGGGTGGGGGAAATGTAAGATTATTGTTTAATAAGCATAGAATTTGAGTTTACAAGATGAAAAGAATTAGGTAGATGAATGGTGTGATGGTTGCATAATGTTATAAATATGTTTAAACCACTGAAATATACATTTAAAGTGATTAAAATAAAAAATTTTATGTTATGTGTATTTTACCAAAATTTAAACATTTTCTTAAATGAAGGAAATTTAAGTAAACTACTGAATTTTAGTTAAAAAAAATATGTTCACATGAAAACCTATACACAAATGTTCACAATATTTCTTTATAATAGCTCATAAATAGGAATCAAATATTCTTAAGTTGGTAAATGATCAACTACAGTACATCCATACAATAGAATATGACTCAGCAACAAAATGAACACACCATGGATACATGCAACAACCTGGACGGATCTCAAGGGAATTATCTGTAAATAATACAATCACAACAGGTTATATACATTATGATACGATTTATGTAACATTCTTGAAATTATAGAAAGGGAGAACAGTAATTGCAAGGAATAAGGGTTAGAGGCAAGGGGAAAGGGATGAAGATAACTTACAGGACACACCGTAAAAGGACAGTGATGATAAAAGCTAACATTTATTGTGTTCTTACATTTGACCAACATTTGGCTAGGTGCATAATAAAAAGTAACTCATTTAATCATTTAATCATTCCATCAGGTTATTGTTATTCTCAACTGACAAATAAGAACACTGATAATTAGAAACTTGTCCAAAGTTATATGTGTGGCTGATGGGTAGGCCAGGATTTGGAAAAGAACCTGTGGTCTACCAACCACAGAACCTGACACATAATTAAAGTTCAATAAATAGAAGCTATTAAAAGTTTTCTCAACTATTAGATTAATCTAAATTATGATTAGAAGAAAAGGAAATCATCTTAGAACCATTTCTTCTTTGAAAAAAGTAAAAAAATTTAAAAAAATACACTCAAAATAGAGTAGTTGGCAAAGAGAAATCTTCTGATTAGGAAATAGAGGTAAAACATAATTTTCCAATGCTGGAAAAAAAAATATTTTATGATAAACTATCCTGTGGTCAAAAGGCAAGAAAGCAGGAACAGAAACAGAGATGCATCCCATAGCCTAGTTCATGGCCTGAGATGCAGAAAGGTATCTAGGGGAATTTTTATTAAGCTCACAGAGATTTGGGATACATATATCTCCAAAAAAGACACTGTCTCTGAAACATTTAGGATTATCTGAAAACATTACTTTTAAATCTAAGAGAGAGGATATGGATTTAAATTAAGCAGTGATCAATAACAGTTCAGTTTGAAAGAGTTTACATTTTATTCCCAGGTGCTTTTAATTCTGAAAATCTGTCTCTAATTATATATTTACAAATCTGGTGGTTGATAATTTTAGTTTCTTCTCATGTTTGGATGTTTTGGAGGTTTTCTAAGTTGATTTAGTAATGCTCTTAATTACACCTATAAGAAATATGACTATCTAGATCACGAAGCTATTTGTGAGGTACAGTAATTCATCTGGTAATGGCAGGAAGAAATAACTTTTTAAATTTTGACTTTTCAATGATCACCTTATATAAAAACAAAAATGCCAAGCATACAAAAACATGTGTTGAATGAGAGAGTAAAGCACAAAGAAGTGGCAGAAGACGATGTTCCAGGGACTTAGTCTATACTTGATAAATGTTTGTGGGCAGAGGGAGAGAGGAAGACAGGGAGGGAAGGGCAAGATAGGGAGAATAGGAGATTCTAAAAGGATAGACACACACAAAATTCTGAAGAAGCGGAAGATATGCAGATATCTTGGTCAGAATGCAGATTTTGTGCAAGCAAGGCACTATGTGCCAAGAGGGGGGTGGTCAAACACTTACCTCAACCCATTGTAGAACAACCTCTTATAGTCAACATTTATTTTGCTGATATTTTCTTTCGTAAGGCGTTCAATGGAGTATAATCGACCCACTTGCTGAAAACCAGGAGCTTTTCTCTTGACATACATTCTATCAAAAGCTGTCAACCAATAAATCTGTAAGGAGAAACAGGAAGTCTTTCAGTAGATAATCATCTGTCTAGGTGCAAAGAGCTCCATGTAAAATAGAAGGAATCCCATTCCAGAACTGGTAACAGTCTATAGGCAACAGAAAGATTCTAGCCCTTAGCCTAATATTGCCTAATGAACTCCCATAATAGGGCTTTCACCAGGGTTGTTGAATTTCCTCAGGTAACATTGCAGCTATTTGCACACAATACGCCCTTGAGTTGAGGGCCCATTGTGTGCAGATAGCTGCATACTAGCCAAAGTGGATGAGGGTTAGTAAGTGTGGATTAAAGGTGGAATTTTTAGCAACTCCCCTGGCTGATGCAAAAAATCATCTTTGAGAAGGCTCATTTCCTGCTTACAGAGAATGCTCCTGTCCCTCATTTGTGGAAACAGTTCCATTGGCAAAAAAGATACATACTTGTTTCATTCATAGTACTCTCCCATATTCTGAGAATTTAAGAGATTTGAAATGATTGACTACCCTAATGCAGAGAGTTGCTTCTGAATACCATGATGAACAAATCGCTGCTCAAATAAGAACCAGCTGACTTTCTACATCATAAATTGAAGCCAAGTCCTCAAAGCCTAGTGTTCCCCAGGCCCTTTCTAATAGTTTTACATTGGTGATGGTGCAATCACATCATATAGTCATTACACACATTCCTTTTAACAGAGTGCTTATTTGATTTGGTTTGGAATAGCAAACAGCCTCACTGTTTTTCTTCACTGAGATAAATATAAGTGGGTCATTCTTAGATTGCCACATGTAGCTATATAAGCAACAATCCCCATTTCTATAGAAATCAAATTTATTTACAGATCTATAAGATAGGGCTGGTTCAACTGCTATGCTCGTGGGACATGCTACCCACCTCCCAACCTCTACCATAAATACTGAGATAGACATACCAGATGTTGCTCAATTTGAGAGTCGAGGATCACGCTTACTACATGGCGCACAAATGTCTTTCTAAGAGGATGTTTTGGTGGAGGAGTATTAAGATCAAATATCACAAATTTTTTCTCCTTCTGTGCAAATTCCAATAAGTCACTTAGTTTTGGAATCATCTGATTTCTTGCCTTTTCTTTATCCGCCTCTGATAAGGGTTTCATATTGTAAAATGGTTTGAACTAAAAATAAATACATCAGAGAATACAGTGACTTCTATCAAAAGCATTTTCCAGTCCTCTTGCTATATCACCTCACACACCCAGCCCTACCTCCATGTTGCTCCATTGCCATTCTACCACCGAGCATCGGAAATACTGGTCCTGAGATAACAGTTGCCAAGGAGAGAAACTAAAAGTAATCTCCGTAGTTAATTATGTATTTGGAATAATTTGATCTGTATTGAAGAACTGTGGTGTTTGAACTGTAAGACCCTCAGGTTCCTCTCTTGACCTTCTTTCTCAGCCTTTTTTTTTTTTATCAGTCAAGGTAATACAATCCTTTTTCAGTTGCATTGGCTTCCAACATTTTCTCTCATTGTTCTAATTTTGTGTAATGTAAAGAAAATAGTCTTTGGCTTCAGACTGAATTGTATTCAAATCTCAACACTATCACTCATTTGCCTTCTTTGCCATACCCAGCCGTTAAAATCTTATCCTCCACTTGCAAAGCCCAGTTCAAATGCTACCTCCTTTGTGAACATTCCTGAACTAAAGAGACTTTGTTGGTATTAAACTCCAATGGCTCATTTTGTGCCCCTGTAATTAAATGTTTCATTCTGCCATCTATAGTTATTTGTGTATGTCTTAGACTAAATTCAAATCCTGGCTTCATGGGAGGAAAAAAATGGCATAGACAATAGAGGCTCTGTTCATCCCTCTGGTGACCAAATCAAAGTTGTGACGGAAACAAGGAGCAAGCAGCAAGGAAAAATTGCTTAGGATCCAGATGAACAAGCCATACAACTAGGGAGAAATCCAAGAAATCACCCTGCAACAGCAGAAGGTAGGATCCAGATGAAGAAGCCATACAACTAGGGAGAAATCCAAGAAATCACCCTGCAACAGCAGAAGGTAGGACGAGGAGAGGACGCGGAGCTGCCAAGTCTTGAGTGGCTGAGTGAGACAGAGGCTGTGGCAGCGGCAGCGGCAGATGCCTCTTAAAGGGGCTGCATTGGCAAGTGGATTTTCTCGGTGACAGACCTGCTTGCTCTGAACACCAGTGCCGATTCAGCTGCGTGCAGGGGGCACCAGGGACTTACAGGGCGAGAAACATTGTCAGAGTGAGGGCCGAGGTGAGACTCACTCTGTACAGAGAACCAGCAGTATCCATTGTTCCTCTGTTCAGCCCTACCCCTCCAAGTGCGCAGACTCAGTGCCGCCATAGTGGAGTCGTCACTGAACTGGATAACAGAAGTCACTCAGCCTAGAGGATTCACTGAAACCCTGCCTCACGCAACTCACGGCCCCACCCAAACCACATTCAGGTATATCCTCTGCAAGTCAGGTGCTTCTTGCTGAGCAGCGCTTAGACTCACACCGGAGGCAGCTGGCCTCAGTTTCTAGTGTGGCCTTTGAGGCAACTATAAGCACAGCATCTGTGGATTGCTTGCTGAATCTTAACAGGTGGCCCCAGAGGGGTAGAGGTTTGGGCTAACTTTGGCCTGCAGCTGAACCCCTCTCAGGACTGTGCCACTGTTACCTACTTAAAAAATCCACACTAATAAGACCAAGAGACTTAGGAGCTTTGCTTAGTATATAGAAACAGACACAGAAAGACAGCCAATATGGAAAGACAAAGAAGCAGAAGCCATATGCAAGAACAGAACAGAGATCCAGATACAATGGAGTCAAGTAATGTAACAGATTGAGTTCAAAACACTGCTTATAAAGATGCTCAATGAATTTTTGGGACGTGTAGATAAATTCAGTGAGAGCATCAACAAAGAGATAAAAAAACATAAAAATGGAAATGTTAATTATAAAAGAACCATTCTGAAATGAAGAACACATTATCCAAGACAAAAAGTATATTAAATGGAATAAACAAAAGAATAAGCAAAGAAAATAAAGAAAAGAATCAAATGCCCTACCTAGAGAATGAGAAAGCCAAGGACACTCAATCACAATGGCAAGAAAAAAGATGCCAAGACTATAAAAATAATTTAAGGAGAATATGGGACACTATTAAGGGTCCAAATATCCATCTGATAGGCATAACTGAAGAAAATCAAGATGTTGAAAGCTGTTTGAAGAAATAATGATGGAAAACTTCCCTCACCTGGTGAAAGAAATGGATATAAAACCCCAGGAAGCTAAGAGAATTCCATAAAACAGGGATCAAAAGAGGCCCACACCAAGACACATCATAAATAAAGTGCCAAAGGTTAAATACAAAGAAAGAATATTAAAAGCAGCAAGAAAAAAGCAGATAGTTACTACAAGGGAACACCCATAAGACTGGCAGCTGATTTCTCAAAAGAAACTATGCAGGGCAGAAGGGCTTGGCACAAAATATTTGACGTGATGAAGACCCAGGATCTACAACTAAGAGTACTTTATCCAGCAGTTATCATTTAGAGTCGAAAGACAGATAAAGAGCTTCCCAGACAAAAATAAGCTAAAGGAATTTATCATCACCAAGCCAGTATTACAGGAAATGTTGGAGACACTTCTTTAAGAAGAAAAAACATGTATCAAAAACAGGAATAAAGAATGGTAGCAACTACATTTCTATCAATAAGTACCTCAAATGAAAAAGAATTAAGTGTTCCAACTAAAAGATAGAGTGGATTAATGGATAGGAAAACAAGACCCCCTACACGTTGCCTATATAGACTCACTTCAGATTAATAGACACAAACATACTAAAAGGAATGGGATGGAAAAAAGATATTGCTTTGATGGCCCTAGAAGGTATTTAAGTCAATCAGAGAAAGATAAATACTATATGATTTCACTTATATGCAGAATCTAAGGAATAAAAAGAACAAACTAATCAAAAACAGACTCATAAATATAGTGGACAATTTGGTGACAGACGGCAGCGGGGTGTTGAGAGGCTGAGAGAATGGGGTGGAAGGTTAAAGAAGTAAAATTAGTAGCTGATGGATGGCCACAGAGATGAGGAACTCGGCATAGGGAATGCAGTTAGTATTAATATGTTGGCTAGGTGGAGGATCAGGGAGGGAGGGAGCAATTGGCGGGATCGTTTTATGAACTATATGACATCTAACCAATGTACTGTATACTTGAAACTAATTAAAAGAAATTTTTAAAAATCCTGGCTTTATATGCTTCTTGCTATGGAACCTTGGTAAAATCATCTAGATTTTCAAAGTCTTCATTGCTCAAACTCTAAAATGGGGAAGGGGATGGGTAATCTATGTATTTCTCACAACTACTTTAGAGATTAAACATGAGAAAATTTTTACAGGGTCTAAGAACATGTCTGGTACATAGAAGAGTGCACAATCCACTCAGTTACCATACACTCTACTGCTTCAACTGCAGTGTAACTCCCTCATGGCAGGAACTGTCTATTTTTCTTTGCAATACACAGCATTTCATCTTATACCTTAGTCCATACATATATTAGCTACATTAAATGTAATAGATGGCTGCTTTTATTGCCACTTGTCAATTAGAGATCATTTGTAGGTGAAGTCAGTGATAAAAGGCTATCGTTATGAAGTGAGCAATAGCCACACACGTTTTCTCAAAAATCAAGTAATCTCTCTTTTTCTCAACAAAAATTTATCTTCATTCTCATTCTCACCCTTTCTATTTTTCTCTTTCCTCAGACCTCCTAAACAAGCTGTCCTTTCTCACCTTTCTCTCAGGACAGTAACAATCACATTGCACAATATCCCCATGCTAGACCAGAAGGCAGAGCATAGAAGCCGAAATAAACTATAATCCAGATCTGAGTTGAGGTCTATAATGAAGGGTTTTCTTCATCCTTAGGAAAATAGAAATTTGCTTCAGGATTCAAGATTTTGTTAGACTCTACTAGATCTAGACCAACTGATTCATTTAAATTTAAAAGAACAGGCTGGCAAAGACCAAGACAGGATTTAAATAACTCAGTTATGCAAAATTTTTGAATGTCCCTGAATGGGTAAAAAGAATAGCAAATTCACTATATGAGGACATTTGTTAAGCCTTTCCTTTAAGGATAAATGGAAGAAAAAATTCAAAATAGCAGAAACAAAAAGATTAATCAACAGGAGAGTTTAAAACTAGATTCCAATAAGCTGTAAGTGGTATTATGGGGTCAATCTAACAGCTAAGTAAATCAAGTCTCTTTTTTGTATAGAAAATAGGGGACTTAGTCAGAAAAATAAACTGGAATGGGACAATGCCAGGTTAGACTGTCTCCAACACGTGGCTGAACATTTTCAAAAAGCCCTAGGAAGTAACAAGATAGAAATGATAACAAACTCCTCAGTCCTCTGTGCCCATGCTTAGAGAAATTACAAGTAGAAGGGCCACTGGATGATTCAAGGTATCATACAGTTTAAAAAATAGGACAATTATCCAAAATCTGCCCCATAATGCCACTTAAAGGAAACCACTCAACAGACAATTTGAGAAGTTTATGTAAATATAGATGAACAACAATACGGTTTCTTGTCAATACAGGTGCCACTACATTTACTATTAATTCCAGTACCAAAGAAAGTCACATTGCTCGCAATACTCAAACCACTGAAGTCATGGGAATTTCTAACAATCCTAAGTCCTTTTCCATGTCCCATTACAATAATGATTATTTTGAGGTCATTACCAGAAACACTCCTTTCTTCTCCACGGCACTTTCCTATAAATGTCATCATTAAAAATCTACTTTACAAAAAGCACCACCAGAAGAAATGTACTGCAGACTAAATATTTTCAGGAGTCACAGAAAACTCTATTGCCGATTATCCAATTATAGCTATGGATATTAGCATATTGATTCAAAAAATAATCAAATAATTGGCCATTGTACTAGAACCCCTGAGGGGAAAAGAGGCACAATAATTAGAGTCAAACTCATGAGAGTTCGAATAAACTCTGTTGATGTGTTGCCTAAAATTCTCTCAATGCTGAAGGTAAGGAAGATCTAAGTCAATTAATACAGACTTAATATAGTAAGAATTATCCCCTGCATTAGTCCAAGCAATATGTCTTGTTTTACC